ATGACTCATTAGTGTGAGAAAAGTAACTAGTATTTTTTTTAACAGTTATAAAGTAACGGGATCCCGTCATTGCCCTTTGAGAATCCGAGGTAAATATTGTAATTGATACACGGAACTCTTAAGGCAGAACACTTATTTTTACGAGATAGAGGCGAACGAGAAATTGGTGGTCGCGATTAGCGCTGTTCATGGCAATACTGTAAGAGCTACAGAGTGTTTCTGACCTTTTAAAAGAATACTTAGATTTTGTTCAAGAAGAGAAGGAAGCCTTCAAACCTAGAGGTAGAAGGTTGTAGTTATTTATTTCCCTTTTTAACCCTATTTTCGTGTGTCAGACTCTTACTGACTAAAAACCACCCCGTTCCTTCTCCTGCACGTCGAGCCGGAGCCCCGGTTACCCGTTAGGTTCTCCGCGACAAAAGTCGAATTTTAATCACTTTGCAGTATTTTTGCGATTAGTCTCACGATTAACGCGTTGACGTAATAGCGTGTAGCATCTTACAGTGGCAGCGGAGTAATTACTAGACTGTATGTTTTAATTAGATCTGTGACTAGAATTAGGTGAACTGGTTTTAGTTTTGTTTAGTATACAGATAGGGCTGAGGTATTTTTGTGCAATAAAATAATATAATATAAAAAATTCATGGAACTTTGACGACTTAAGATACTCATGCTCATGAAACAAGGCTAGTATGACGTGTTGGCGCATACATGTATAAAAAAACTTATTTGGGAAATAAAAATCATTTACAAAGCTTTCTCCCTAAAAAATGTCGTAATTTATTTTCATTTTATTGTGTTTGTGATGAAGCAACAATAATGGCGTTCCCAAGAATGTCTGTAGGTGTTAAACACCAAACAGTAAATTGTCGAAGATGTCTCAATACTTACTAATGTAAACAGTGGACATCAGATACATCTCAGAGTAACCAGATACCAACGTCCAATGGAAATACCATTTTATATTAATTTATGTCGCAAAGTTTATTTTTTTAGTGGATTGGATTAAAGGGAATGTTTACGTTAAATACTTTAACATGAAAAATAAGAAAGTATGTAGGTACTTCTTAGGAACCTATGAGTAGTTGTGCGGTGCCCTCTTGGCTAAAAATTTTAAGGTAGGTACTTCAAATATATAATTAGTTAGGCACCGGCCTCTATTAGTCCTTCATTTTATTTCCTGATCTTACGAAAAGAAATGAGGTCAAAACCTATTTAATTACAGAAAAACAATGAGCTTTTTGTGATACCAAAGATAATTCACACCATTGCACAAATTGGATAAATAAAAGAGATAAGCTCAAGCGATTCCATTTCTACGTTTTTAAAATCATAAGACGATTGGTAGTCTATGACTTTGCGTTTTTTTAATAATTTTTAGCTTCATATTACAAAACTGTGAAATAAATGGTCGCCTACGTTTTTTTCGAATGAAATACGAAACTTAAACCTTAAAAAAAGAATCTTCTCTTTTTAAAACGGCCGGGAACGCTTCTTTGACCGAACTCCTCTAGTAATGCTGACGATACATGTGCTCATTAGACTCAAATTTTTTTAATGAGATAAGCCGGTAAACTGGCAAACGGATCACCTGATAGTAAGCAATCGGCGTCGCCCATGGACACCCGAAACACCAGAGGCGTTATAAGTGCGTTACCGGCCTTTTGGGAATCAGGAATTTGAGGATTGTGGGGATTCGGGGATTGGGGAGACTGGGGAAGGGGGTAATTGGGCCTCCGGTAACCTCACTCACACGACGAAACATGTTTGTTTTCTGTGAGGCCGTGGTATCACTCCGGTCGAGCCAGCACATTCGTGCCGAAGCATGGCTCTCCCACACTTAAAATATAATATATAAGAAAAAAACGTAACACAGCTGATATCTTAAATCGTATCATCACTCGCTTCAGTTTATCATTTACATTGATCATCTCAAGACGTAACCGCCGAGTAAGTGGGTTAAAAAATTATACTTTGTTTCGACATTTCGGCGCGCGAGCAAGACACATCGAACGAACGGTAACAAAAACCGTTATTTCGATCTCAGTTGTGGTCAGATTAGTCCATAATGGATGTAATGGACGCCCGTTACGATGTAATGGAAACTTGAATTGAAATAACAAGATTTTTTGGGGTTCTTGAAGGTTTTTTGACGAATTGTGGTTGTCTTGCGCAAAAAATTGGCGCTAATGTAGATGATTTTGTAAGTGGTATTGTTGAAGATTGGTGGTGTATATGATAGATTGAGTAAGAGATTTTTTTGAGGGCGAAATCATCCAATGATTTCTCCCGTCGTAGGTTAGGCGAGAGAGAGTGTCAGAATTTAACTGACTAGAAACCACCTCGTTCCTACTCCTGCACTTCGAGCCGGACCCCCGGTAACCTGTCAGGTTTGCCGCAGCAAGAGATCTTGAGATTAAATCGGGGCCTTATAAAGTATGTACCTCTATTTCCTGAAGGGTATAACCTGGGAGTCTTCAAGGCCCGAGTGAATAGGTTGCTTATGGGACGACGTGCTCCATCGTAGACCGCATCATCGCTTACCATCAGGTGAGATAGTGGTCAAACGTCGCCACATCAAATATAAAAAAAAAGTATGATAGTGCGTCTCACACTCACCAAAACAGTTGCAGTATAATAAGTATTACGAAATTGAAGTTAGTTACTTTTAGAGATCGAATTTAATATAATTATATTAATATTCTAAAACTAAATCCATCGGCGCCTGCTTATTTAAGGCATTACATCATAAAATTACAAGTTAATTAAGAAACCCAATCAGATTTGCTCAAGCCTAAACTAATATTATAGCGATTTAATAAACAAATATATACTAATCAGAATTCCGGTGTTAAAAATATTCATATGTTTAAAATTCTAAGTATATTTGGCCATTCATTATCATAAGATATAGTAAAACTATTTTAAAATTTTGATTTATTTATGTTGTGTATATTAAGACATGTTTGACGATAGGCTTTGACTTAAGTACGCTGTTATTTATTATATTACTTCCCAAAACGGTTGCTATTTTTCAAATCTTGTGATGAAATCTATTCCTACGATATAAAACTTTATCTTGACTATTATCATCATCACTATTACCATCGCCATATTACCCACAAGATGTCCACTGCTAGACCGCCTGTATTGTATAGGCCTCCCCAGTGACTTCCTAATCATCCGGTTGGAAGCACCATAATTATTATTTTGACAATAAATTGCTAAAAATCTAGTCCTTTTGGGGTCTTCCTCTAAAAACAGTGTTTATCAAAATTTCTACGCCTTTTATTTTCGAGGTCTCTCTTCGAGATCGTAGTCACTGAAAAGTTAAGGAATTCTGATGTGCATCTTACGGTGACTGAACGTAGATTTTACTTAGACACAATAGAACAACAACCTTGGAACCAAAACCAAGATCAACATGAACAGCATCCCTATAGCAATCATGGAACCACGAACTCACTGAACAGTGACGCCAGTAATTTATCACGAACACATCTCAAGAACTAATCTATCGTTCGCAATAAAAACAGTGGTAAAGTACAGTTATAAAAGTGCAGTAATAACAGACAGACCAGACTAGTTATAATAACGTAACTTCTTCTAACGTCCAACGCACGACTGCACATTGTGTTTCATAGTCTATCCGACTAACTGCAGATTAAAATATAAATTACTAGGTACTTAGTTGTGTCCGCGACTTCATCCGCGTGCAATAGTAATTCACAGCTGCTTCCCCGTAGCGGGATCATATGTAGCATATATGATGAATTGACTTGTTAGTAATACTCATGCAAAATTTGAAGTAAATCCATGCAGTATTTTTTGAGTTGAGCCCGAACATACACACAGACACATAGACAAAAATTCGATAAACCACATTTTTGGCTTCCATGTCGATTGTAGATCACGTCCCAAGCGTTTGTTAAAAAAAACAATGTACAGTTTTCACTTTCCTATGATTTTATTCTAGAAGGAAGTGTGCGACTTTGCTCGTGCAGAATCAAGGTTCGAGTACCTAAAACCTTATGTTCTGACCCTATGTAGATTTTTTAAGGGGGGAAAATCATCGAATGGCTGCTCCCGCCTGGGTGAGGCGGGAGGGAGTGTCGACTCTTACTGACTAAAAACCACCCCGTTCCTTCTCCTGCACTTCGAGCCGGAACCCCGGTTACCCGTTAGGTTCTCCGCGATTAAGCCTACGTAGTTACGTAGGATATTTTTTAGTAGTTCCCAGAAAAGGAAGTTCATATTTAATCTGACAATCACTTTTCATCAGTTTTAAGTCCCCCCTATTTTCGAGTCCACGTTTTCAATTTTAAGATAATATGATAAACTTACAAACGAGAAATGGTTCCTTTTTAAAATATCTGTATAGAATTTTATTATCGTAACAACAAATCTTGCTCAGATTCACGCAGCAACGAAATGACTGCTGCACTGAAAGTTATAACATTTACGTAATACGAAAACGAAATGCGTTTTAGGTATAAATTTTTTGTTAGAACATCGCCAGGTATAGATTAGTTAGAGTTTAACTTCTTAAAAATTGATGCTAGAAACTTGGTAACAAAGAATTTACAGAAAATGTCCAAGATGTGTGTACTTATCTAATGTAATAAATGTTTTTCTTTACAGGTATCATTTATAACTATGTGAGAACGGGACAGTGTGTGTTACTAAGTCATTTCTTGCTACCAAACAAAAAATGTGTTCGTTAAAATGTTTCACCACGATGTACATTAATTAACTAGAACATTCAAGTTTTTGTTCAAAGCTTCAGTGGTTAACGTTAACTGACTTTTTGTCTTACTGGACTTGGATAGACTAACTACAGTTAAGATTAAATAATGGAACACTGTTCAACAATACAAAAAGGCGTCAGTGCAAAAAAACTACAATGAAAACTAGGCTGAATGAAATAACTGTTGCTATCAGTGAATAGAAAAAAAATGAAAAGATTTAAAAAGTGTTCAAATTGAATTTGGTGTTCGAAAATGGCGGTGTGGGTGTGGTTGGCGGCATTGCTGTGTGGCTCTCAAGCTGCAGTGCTACCACCACCATGGGCTGATGTGAAGAGGAATCCGTGTGCAGCATTGCCAAGAGGATGGCTCATGCTGTACTGGCCAAAGGACGGAAAATGCTACACCATTTATAAGGTTAGTAAATAAAAATGCAATATGAATTTAGTACACTTCATTTTAGCAACCCATTGTCTAGTGCCAGACTTCTTGGGCAATGAACTTGCATTAGGTTTATCTATTTTAGCGATCTTCAATCTTATATGGCGTCAGGGGCGGACGTTGACGTGCGACCGAAATCTAACATTTGATACTTACAAAAAGCATTAGACCTGACACGACTTAATATTTAACGGTTTCAAAACACACGCCTCGGTACGGGTCAGTACAGTTCACTTTTTTCTTTCAAAAGACCAAAAGGACCGCTTAGCGCAAGATGTTGAAATGCCCAACGGTACTCACAACCTTAATAGTTTTTTAACTACGACTCCAAGAATGATAATTTACGAAAAATATGTAAGAATCTGTACTATAATGTACCGTATGAAATGGCATCTAGTAATTCACGCAGTATATTTAAGTACAGAAGGTTAAGTTACATCATGACGGGCCTTTTGATACTCTATTATAGAGAATAACAGTATTTCTAAAAATATGTGTGTTAAATCATTAACATCTCTTAAATTTAGTTAAACCTAGACCAAGTGGTTTTAAAAGTTAAGAACAAAATTGGTAGCGTATTCAAAATTTCCATTATCTGGGACTTCTGACCGATCTCTGTATTGCATTCACAGTTCGTTGTCATTACGCAACATCAGTAAGATATCCAGTACTATGACCTCAAATCTCGCAGTCTCACATAAAACGACTTAGTTTCGGGAATACCACTTACATAATACGTGGAGTTTTGTGCATCTCTTGAATAAACAATTACTCTATTGCGTCCATATTCCCATGGTAATGCACCGTTGGGTAAACTTGGCTCGGCTTGTGAAGCGAAGGATGAATATTGATATTGAACTTGAATTATACTTCCTTTATTGTGAAGTGGCTTGAACCGTTGAACTTGCGAGTAGTCGCAAGTGCGACTGCCGGGCAAGGGGTCCGATTCCCGGCATTCCAATGTATTACTGGGTTTAAAAAAATCTCAGTAGTAGCACGGAGTGTGGAAATGGGCCCGATATATGGCAATAGGCTCACCCCCTATTACATGGGACTCATAACATAAATAATGAAAAGTGGGTGTTACTTCTGTGTGCACCTCTGCCAATCCCTTCAGAGATAAAAGGCGTGATATTATGTTATATTATGTGGGTTGAACCGAAGAGATTTGTTAAAGTGTTATGATTGGACAATGGAAGACGATCAGATTGTAATAATAATTCTGTTATAAACTACGTTTTAAAAAATCTCAACGTCCTCTTTTTTAAGTCGGTTAATTAATATACTAAGACCTTCTCCTAAATGTAACAAACATTTATATGAAAACCGGTTCAGCCTATCTCGATATAATCACGCACAAACATACATACACACAGGTCGAACTCAGAACCTTCTTTTTTTTGAAGTCGGGTAATAATAGTTTAGGAACAATCTTTATATATACTTCTATAATTCTTCTGTGAGTGTGTATGTCACTGAACTTCTCTCAAACGACTGGACCGATTTTGTTGAAATGTTTTGTGTGTGTTCAAGGGGATCTGGGAATGGTTTAGATTCACAAATCAGCCCGGCAGATGGCGCTGCAGTCGATGTTTAGGTTATTTATCCTAAACAGCTGAACAAATTTAAATGAATTTTTGTTTATACATTCAAGTGGATATGCAGGACAACGTCTGTTGGGTCCGCTAGTATTATAATAAAATGCGAAGCAGGTACCATCACCATATCTCGAGACATTCTTTTGTTATCCAAATTCCATACTTTTGCTGTAGAAACCAGAGATAGCTGATTTGACATGGCCTTTAGAGACAGTAGGTACGGAGAATCATGACTGTTGTGGTGTGAAATTGTGAATGTCGATGTGGATAAGGTAAAATCATTTTTTCATAATGAAGGGAAGACCGAAACTTGTATTTTGAATCTACTTATAACTAAGATTGCAATAGGATTTTAAAAAAAGATCGAATACGGTACTGGGTAAAAGTAAAGACTGAATACGCAACTGACATCCATAGGCAAAAGTACCTATTTACTATCAGGCGATACCTTAACCGTAGTTTGTTTTTTTTTATGGCATAAGCCGGTAAACGAGCAGACGGATCACCTGATGGTAAGCAATCGGCGCTGCCCATGGACACCTGGAACACCAGAGGCGTTAAAAGTGCGCCACCGGCTTTTTGGGGATTAGGAGTTTGAGGATCGTTGGGGATTCAGGGATTGGGGAGATTGGGGAAGGGGAAGGTAATTGGGCCTCCGGTAACCTCATACGACGAAACACAACGCAAGCGTTGCTTCTCGTCGGTTTTCTGTGGGGCCGTGGTATCACTCCGGTCGAGCCGGCCCATTCGTGCCGAAGAATGGCTCTCCCACACTTAATTTTGTTTGTTATTTCAAAGACAAGAAAAACTCAGATATTTGAACATTTTTAAATTTTTTTAGACAACTAATTATACAGTCTAGACAGATGAAATGATTCGAGATAAAATCGTATAGAAGTACAAATGCTTGTAACTCTTTATGTCTGTAATTTCTGTAATTCCGTGTTGCGTAGTGATTAATGGGTTGTGGTACAGGACATGGCACACATTTTGTAGGAATATATCGAGGATTGGATAATATCCTGCAATGTTTCACACACTGTTGAGTTTTTAAAGCATTTCAATTCAAAAGTCAATTGGAAGGGAAAATTGGTGAAGTATATTTGATTTGAGAGGGGGATGCTATTAGACTAATGCAAAATAAATATCTTTATCATTGTTTTTATAATAACTATCGTGAGACATACTATACTAACGCGCAATCGCGGCGATGTCGCGCAGCCTACTGAGCAGTAAGCTGCTTATGAGGAAGAACTCTGTGGTTCGAAACTAGAAGAGCTTTACTCAGTATATTTACGAGAGTAACCCGCGATTTTAGTTAATCTTTATCATTCTAAATACCTGACATTTTAAGTCCAATTCTGTCTACTGCAAAGAGTATAATAAGTATAGGGGAGGCTACTGATAAACAAATATAGCATTAAGCTGAACACCAGCCTTTTGCACTGCGATGCACGATCGTTTTGTTGAGTACCTGTGTTTTTGCCCACGTTAATATCATGGCGTAATAAACGGTTTATCTTACTTTATTTCTTTCTCACATAGACGTCTCCAGTAGCAGAAGCTCTTCGCATCAAATAAAAAAAAGTGATACTCCCGTTTCCCAATTTCAATTTATCTATGTCTCTAACATAAACCAAGATAGATCGATACATAAGACGCCCCAGGCGCATGGCGCCAAAAACTCCAACAACGTTTTTTATCACTTCAATCTCAAGGCCAAATCATTCAGAATCAATTAATCAGTAAATAAATAATGACGAATCATTGTGAAACGGCGAAATGCGAATGTAACCGCAGTGGGTCAGCGTGTGGCATAACAAGACCGATCGGTCACGGTCTTTCACCAATACTACGATAGCCACTCACAGAACCGGAATACTAATATTTAATACTTATTTATAGTCGATTCCAAGTCGTAAATCAAGGATTATTTTGGATTTTCGAACGCTGTGTATACTTATGGGACAGTGAGTGTCGTCCATAAAGATGAAGAAAGGAAAGCTTGTGAGATGTAGCCTGCTGCTGTAATCGACTTAAGTTGTCTGAGAATCTGTAAAATCTTGTAGCTGTTGCATTTTTAGTTTGAGATTTGCGTTATTCGATACAAATTATGAATATTGTTATGAAGTACGACTATCGGAACTTCTCTAAGTCTCTTCTTTTTTTCTGAAAGAAGAATTTAAAACGCAAAAACATTCTCAACACACAAAATAACGTTAAAATCGATAACTTCACCATCGCACCGTACGGAATCGTCACCAAAATAATCACGTAACGGCAATTTGATTCATTTAACATTTGAAACAGAATGTCATACGGAGCAGATTGCCGTGAAAATCTAATGATACGTTGAACATCGAACATTCAATATTGGTACGGCTATGAACAGCTTCACACAGCTTTAGTACGCCTTCAATTGATTTTTTTTCATGTTCATTTTATTTAAGTACACGTGTTTCGAGAACTTCTGAATGATTTGCTGTAATTAGTTCAGCTTCATACTCATCAACTTGTTTCATATGATCTATTTTATTTGATTTTGAATTGTTTATTTCGGTTTTATTTTCTTATGGTTTAAATTCATAGAGACAATGTTTGTCTAGAGTTGATTATTGTGTCTCATATGTGTGATCCCATAGTAATCTATTTATAAGATACTGTCTTGCCTGTCCAATGGTCGTTAATACAAATAGTAAGTGCTGTGTTTAGATTTTTCTAATAGGAAATAATACCAACAAGGAATCCATTTATGAGGAATCAACTACGTGGAAAGGTTGATCATGTTGAACTTTTTATTGCACCACAAAATTGCACGCTGTGTTCACGCTTATTCACATATAATTTAGGCTAATAGTGACCTTGTGATTCAGGAGCTAGAAAGTTTTGGTTAGTCATAGCAAATAATAGAATATGATAAATGCCGTAGAAGATTGTAAACGGTTCGAAATATCTGCATTTTCTAACGTCAGGAATCTTCAAGGCCAAATTGAAAGATTGCAAAAATTGTATTGCCTATGTACGTATGTAACACTTCATAGACATTTGTACGTTTGTATATTTCGGTCACGATTCTTGAATAGCGTGTCTTGTTGTCTGCAGTACAATTATATTTAACTAGCTTTAACCCGCGGCTTCGCTCGCGTCACAAAAGAATAAAAAGTAGCCTATGTGACATATACCAATACACAGCGCCATCTATACCACTTACTACTACTTTTGTTTTTCCTCGGAAATATCAATTTTTTCCGGGTTAAAAAGTACTCTATTATTTAATCCGGACTTCTAACTTTACGTCTGCAAAAATTCAAAGCAATCGGTTGAGTAGTTACGGCGTGAAGATGGAACAAACAAACAAACAAACAAACTCACTTTCAG